ACCTGGTGTGAGGGTGTAGGAGGTCGGTGGGGGGTTTATAAGTGAGGAGGAGTATTTGGTAATTGATTCTGGATCCAAGTTGGAGCCAGTGGAGGTGGATGAGTACTTTGAGTTAAGCTTTCCAAAAGTACAGAATTTTTAAAATTTTGATATCCTTTATTAATTCCCAAGGGGAAATCCGGGTTTACACTTTGTTATTTATAGGGACATGCTTCACACACAGAGAGGCCGAGACCTGTGGATCTGCATTAGTGATGTCAGAGTGCTGCTACAAGCTGCTACACACTGCTAAGCAGAGAGCGCACCAATCAAGCTGCTGGGGGTTCAGTGCCTTGCTCAAGGGCACCTCGACAGTGCTCGGGAAGTGCCCTGGCACCTCTCCAGCTACCAGACCAACTTCCAGATTTTGGCCCGCACCGGGACTTGAACCTGCGACCCTCCGGTTCCCAACCCAAGTCCCTACTGTCGCCCCAAATACAACACTTATTATACACTTATTATAAACTTATTATACACTATTATAAACTTATTATACACTTATAATGCATTTATTATAAACTTATTATAAACTTATTATACATTTATTATATATTTATTATAAACTTATTATACACTATTATAAACTTATTATACACTTATAATGCATTTATTATAAACTTATTATACACTATTATAAACTTATTATAAACTTATTATACATTTATTATATATTTATTATAAACTTATTATACACTATTATAAACTTATTATACACTTATAATGCATTTATTATAAACTTATTATAAACTTATTATACATTTATTATATATTTATTATAAACTTATTATACACTTATTATGCATTTATTATAAACTTATTATAAACTTATTATAAACTTATTATGCATTTATTATAAACTTATTATACATTTATTATAAACTTATTATAAGCTTATTATACATTTATTATAAACTTATTATACACTTAATATACATTTATTATAAACTTATTATACACTTAATATACATTTATTATAAACTTATTATAAACTTATTATACACTTATTACAAACTTATTGTACACTATTATAAACTTATTATACACTTAATATACATTTATTATAAACTTATTATACACTATTATAAACTTATTATACACTTATTATAAACTTATTGTACACTATTATAAACTTATTATACACTTATTATACACTTATTATACATTTATTATAAACTTATTATACATTTATTATACATTTATTATAAACTTATTATAAACTTATTATACATTGATTATACATTTATTATAAACTTATTATACATTTATTATAAACTTATTATACACTATTATAAACTTATTATACACTTATTATACACTTATTATACATTTATTATACATTTATTATAAACTTATTATAAGCTTATTATACATTATTATAAACTTATTATACACTTATTATACACTTATTCTAAACTTATTATACATTATTATAAACTTATACACTTATTATACACTTATTATAAACTTATTATACACTTATTATAACGTTATTATACATTTATTATAAACTTATTATAAACTTATTATACATTATTATAAACTTATTATACACTTATTATAAACTTATTATACATTATTATAAACTTATTATACACTTATTATACACTTATTATAAACTTATTATAAGCTTATTATAAACTTATTTTACAGTATTATAAACTTATTATACACTTATTATACATTTATTATAAATTTATTATACACTTATTATAAACTTATTATACATTATTATAAACTTATTATACATTTATTATACACTTATTATACACTTATTATACACTTATTATAAAGTTATTATACATTTATTATACATTTATTATAAACTTATTATAAACTTATTATACACTATTATAAACTTATTATACACTATTATAAACGTATTATACACTTATTATACACTTATTATAAACTTATTATACAACACTTTAGTCATGTGGTGCTTCTTCAGACTTTGAGTAAACATGGACGAAGCCTCAGTGACAGTCACCACTTTAAGCTGCTCAGCAGCGCATGAAGGAGAATAAAGTCAGACGTCTGTGTGTAAAAGTACCTGGATCTTCTTCTGTGTTTTCGGGCCGAGAGGGCATGCACACCTGGAGTCTCGTTCCCGTGTGCTGCAGACTTGACTTCAGTCTGATGAATAATAATAATAGGTTTTAATGACAGTGTGTGGCAGCAGCAGCAGGCTCAAAGTAAACCTGGAATCAGACAGTTCATGTTTTGTGTTTGCAGCCTGCACACGGTCACGTGGGTCAGACGGGCAGGTAGCAGCTCGCCCCCCCGGCAGACGAGCAGCGTTCTCCTCTCAGTGAGTCAGCAGCTCCATTTGTTCTTCTTCATGCAGCTGCACGGAACCAGAAGAGTCGGCCGCATTAAGGATATTACAGGTAATCTTCAGGAAATCCTTTTATCCAGGTGGCGGGGGGGGGGGGCAGCCGTCAGGAGAACTTCACCCCCAAGATCTCACATCGGGCCCCTCTACCACAGCCAGCCCTGTGACATCATCACTTTAACCACACCCCCATCAGACTCATGACCCAATGAAAAGCTTTCAAGTAAGTTATTCAAAGGTTAAAACGACACGATCACTTTTATTTTAATCATCAATCAGTCTCAATAACTTCAGAAGGTGAACATGCAGGAGAGGAATAAATCCTGAACTCTGTCACATGCACACGTGCTCTTCCTCCTGCAGAGCGGTAACCCTGTCTCTCGCCCAATGACAGCTGGGATCAGCAAAAGCCCCCCCGTGACCCTGAACTGGAAAAGCAGAAAGAAAATTGAAGTATGGAATTTTTGAAGACATTGTTTTTTTTCAGGAAGCTTCTGAGACTAAACAAAGAGTGTTGAGGCGTATTTTTACAGATTTGAAGATCATGGATGGATTTTTCCTTTTCATGACCAAAGGTAACTTTTAGATTCAAATGAATCCATGTTTGATATAAACGCCCAACAGGGCCCTCCGTGTACAGCCCCCCTCCATCCTCAGGGGGCGGTGGGTTACAAAGACTTTACTATGACAACGTGTTTCACCTGAAGCCTCCTCAGCTTCATCAATGTTGGGCGACGACGTTGTTCGCTCATCATAAAATGTCTTAAAGTCACTTTCATTGGGACATGGATCCACCTGTGTTTGTATAGTGAACAAGTCCAGAGCTGATGCATCTTGGGAGAACTCCTGACACACACCGCCCATTTAGCAAACACTGTGCAGAGGACACACACACACACATATACAAATACACGCACACACAGAACCAACACAATAACTTCACATCGACATACAGATTATGTTTACACACAGTATAAACATTCATGTACACACACACACACAAACACACACACACCATCACTGTAACAACATGCTAATCTCCCTCTGAATGCCTTTACAGAGTGTGTGTGTGTGTGTGTGTGTGTGTGAAGCCTTTATTTACACAGAGACCTGATAACATCCTGATACAGTGACCATTGTAAATCCTTCAGCTGGCGTTTTATTGGCGAGTTGTTAAAACACTTTGCAACCTCGAGAAGTTTGTCTGATTATTGCAGCTTTTATTTCTATCAGTTACAACAAAACGACCCATCTTTTATTTTATTTTTTTATTTATCCAGGAAAAATTCTAACTGAGATTAAAAATCTCTTTTACAACAGCGTCCTGGCCAAGACAGGCAGCAGCACAGTTACAGGGTTTCAGACATAAAACACATAAATACAAGAATCACAAAAAGAACCATTCACCAGAATCTGTCATAAGTCATCAGCAACAAAGCAAAACCAAAAGGGCAATACGAGTTAGCTAAAACATTTACAGTCAGATATTTCTGCCTCCAGATCATTAAGACGACCTTTAAAAACATTCAAGGAAACCAGCTCCCCAAGATTTAAAGTATCTTGCAACCGATTCCGATTAACGACCTTTCAGAACTTCCTAAACAGCTGTTTTTAAAGGTGCTGTATAAATATAAATGATTATTATTATAAGACGATGACTGTGTGGTCCATCAGTCAGTTTTGAAGTTTTTGAATTGAGCAATATCGACCTCTAGTGGTGAACAGCAGAACTGCAGGTTGGCCCGTGTTTGAAGAGCAGAGACAGAGTTTATTATCTGATTATAAGAAAGTCAAACTCGTCCATCAGGTTCAACTGTTTACTTCTGTCTTCTGACTTTTCTTCAGGAAACTGTTGATCTGTCTGAGACACTTCTGCACACACATATTCAGATATATGTGTTGTTGTTTACTGAGGGAAATAAAAATATATCACTAGACTTCACCTTTGATTTCATTATTAAGATTTAGTAGTGGTGTGTAGCTTTGAACAGTGTATAAATACACTCTGCCTCATCACTGCACACAGCACTGTGGGGGTTCCTGAAATAAAAAAGAGAGAGGAGCAGCCAAACACTGTCCTCACTCTGCAGAAATGTTCTCACAAAAACACAAAAAACACACACGCACGCACACACACACACACACACACACACACACACACACACACACACACACACACACACACACACACACACACACACACACACACACACACACACACACACACACAGAGAAGTGTTTTCATCTGTATTCCTGGTCAGAGGTGTTTATTTCATTCCTAGCTGGCTCTGGTTCCCATATTAGAACGACCACTAGGGGGCAGCAGAGCTAAAGTGTGTGTAAATGCATGTGATTTGAGTGTGTGTGTGTTTGTGTGTTTGTGTGTGTGTGTGTGTGTGTGTGTGTGTGTGTGTGTGAGTGTATTTGTGTGAAAGAAAGTGAGAGCCCAAAGAAAGCAAAAGAAAGTATGCATGCATGATTGTGCAGACAAATGTGTGTATTTGTGTGTGTGCCAACCTTGTTTGCAGGCCTGTCAATGTCTGTGTGAATATCTTTGTGTGTGTGTGTGTGTGTGTGTGTGTGTGTGTGTGTGTGTGTTCATTCTGACAAAGGCTCCATCCAGCCATACTGCAGAGGGCTGCTTGTTCCCAGAGACCCTCAGAGCTCCAGGACGCCCCAGTCTCTCAGCTGCTCGCAGCCCAGACACAGCAGCCCAAACCTGGACAGAGACCGTCACCTGCTGCCCCTCTCCTCCTGGAGCTCCAACACCTGTTTGGATTACTGATGGATGGGAAGAAGAAAGCTGTATTTTAAGGACGGACATTTTGGCAGTGCGGGAGTTTAAAGAGAGTAGTCTGGAGGAGGAGAAGACAAGAGGACACTTTCAACTTTTATTCAGACTCCAAACGATCGGACGGAATTGATGCAAACTTTGGCGTAACTAAAGCGAGTTGTCTCCCCTTTGAAGAGGAAACTTTGGTCCACTTGTCACTTCACAGGAACTCTGGACTCGTCCAGGATTTTACTTTAAGATATTTGGAGGTTTAAACATGTCAGGCAGATCAGTTTTTTCCTGAATAGAAGCATTCTTGGAAACATTTGCAGGTCTTTTGTTTTGTTGTTCTGTGAGAGGATTATTTTTCACATTTAATCCTGCGTTATGGCTCTGAGTGGCGCTCTGAGTGGCGCTCTGTGGGTGTGTCTGTGCGTGCCGATACTTCTCACGGATGGCAAAAGCGTAGGGCAACACGACAGTCAGCCTAACAGCCTCAAGAAACCGTCCTCCCACACCAAACTGGAACCCCTTTGGATCGCCAAGCAGCCCAGGACCCGGGTCGACGGCCCCAACCAGAGCGCCCCCCTCCCTGAGATGTTGGATCTAGACCTGGATCAGCAGCACCGCCGCCAGGTCCGAGGCGCCGATGAGGACGAGCAGCAGTCCACCTTTAGCCAGTCCTTTGAGAACGACTCTGTGACGGCGCCGCAGGACACCGAGTTCGACAACGGGACAAAAGTCGGAGCGGGAGACGACGGCAACAAGGACAATAATGATCGTCATGGAAACTCCTCGAGCTCTGACAAAGACGCGCCAGGACTTTTCAACCCGTTCTACCCGCTGGTGGAGAGCTCGTACTCGGCCTACGCGGTGCTCTTCCTGGCCGGCCTGGTGCTGGCGGTGGGCGTGGTGGGAAACATGGCGGTCATGTGTGTCGTCTGGAACAACTACTACATGAGGTCCGCCTGGAACTACCTGCTGGCAAGCATGGCATTCTGGGACTTCCTGGTCCTGGTGCTCTGCCTTCCTGTGGTGGTCCTCAACCAGCTCTCGCATAGGAGGATCCTGGGTGACATCACCTGCCGAATGGTGCCTTATATGGAGGTGGGTGGAGCTTATGTAGTGAGGTGAAAGCTAATAGACCTAAAGAGTTCTATCAGGTCACTCCTACAGAATCGAAACCTTTTGATCTGCTCCTCATCGATTCTGTTTCTGTCCCGTAGATTTCTTTAGTTCATTATTACTCTCTCCCGTCTAAATGACCACGTAGGAACGCCATCTGAAACGGTGTTAGGTTGAAGGTAGAAGGTGTCTGATGTTGTTGCTATAGTGACGGCCTAGTTCCCAACTCTTCACCTCCTCCTGACCTGGCAGAAAATTAACATCTGACCATCCAACTGTCAGGTTGGACTAAGAACGCCAAGTTAAGACCAACTTTGTCTAAGACCAGGCGTTGGTGCGACCGGCCCCCCCCAGAGTCACAATCTGAGGTGCGAAATTTAGTTTTTGTTTTCTGGTTCAATGTGAGATAAACCAACATTTCCCACCTGCTTCTCGTCTTCTAGGCGAGACTATACCTGGATTCTATTTCTGTTTGAGTCACGGCTGTGGCTCAGTAGAGTCGTCACCTTTCAACCGGAAGGTCGAGAGTTCGATCCCCAGTTGAGCAACATGTCCGATGTGTCCTTGGGCAAGACACTTAACACCGCATTGCTTCAGTGGCGGTGTATGAATGGATTAGTGTTGTACTCACTGTCTGATGTTCGTTGCTTTGGATAAAAGCGTCTCCTAACTGTGTTTATTAATGAACCAAAGAAGAAGCCTGGGCAGATACTTTTGATTTCAAGGACACTTAAGTTAAAGGTTTTAAAAAGAATAAGAGTTTGGCTTGCTTAAACAAATCAACAGAAATTAAGTTTAGAGGTTTGTTGTTGACTTTGTAAACAAATCCGCGGCTTGCATTCATTAATGCTGTTTGGAGAGAATCGGTCTGTTGTGGTTCATATTTACTGTCCTCTTGTTTTGGTCAAAGTTTAGAGTTTGAGTTGAGTTTGTAATCCAAGAGCCAGTTGAGGAAATGTCTTGAACCTTTTGTAGGCTCTGAGGTGTTTTTAAAGTTTTCAGAATTAACCAATGGGTGTGGAGCTCAGAGACACTGACAGACAGTTGGACAGTAATAAAAAGAAATAATAAAATGTGGATTGTTTGGGTCTATGACCTTTGGTCAGATTACTGCTCATTGTAGAGTCTAGTCCAGGATGGAGACTCAAGCTACTGAAGCACTTTCATGGATACCCAGTTCGAAGAATAGTTGAAAGAAAATTGACATTTAAGTTAAAGATAGAAGATTTGACTGTTTTTGTTATTGTGGCCATTTTTAAAAACTTAATTTTTATGAAATTTGACGTCATGGCGGTTTCATGTTGACCAATCAAAACCCAAGTTTCTGTTAGTTCATGACTGCTATAAGATCAGTCAAATCAAATCAACTCTAGAGCACACAAATGTTAATCCTAAGTGTCTCAGACGATGTTGGAGGACTCATATCCTGATGCAAGGGGGTAAAAAAGGGTAAAACTTTCTGGGGCCCAAACACACGGGGGGGGGGGGGCATGGAAGCTAACTGGTCACTTAGTGTAAAACTCCTCTTCTTAAAATGGTAGGAGCATTTTGTTGTTGTTTTTTAAAATGAAATCGTTACCATGTGGGTGGGGTCTATTGAATTTAACTTTGAGGCCATTATCGTCTGACTGAGTAAACCATGCCAGGGCCTGCATCTAACTTTTTTCCATTCAGCTCCAAAAGCATTTCAAAGCCAGGCCCAGGAGGCAAATGTTAGCCATGTGGCTAAAGCTAACCCTGCTAATCCAAATCAAATGACATCAGGGGAGGGCCCATCCAGTGGGTCTTTCAGGGGCCCAGCCATCTTTGTGGGCAGTCCTGATTACTCAGATTTGGACTTTAGCATTCACTGCATTTGGGTAGGGGAGGTGGACTCCGACATACTTACTGATAAAGAAGGTGTTTTGGTTTATATTAGTTGTTGTTTAAAAAAAGAGCACTAAAGATTTTTTCAGTTTGGATGCACGTTCAAGAACTGCCTTTTTCAGCCAAAGTTTGTGTGTCATGGCGCTGCATATCACTGTTGACCGGCCACAAGGTGTCTTGAGTTTATTGAACACCTTCAGTGATCCCAGTGCAGCAGAGTTGATGATTGCATTTCACCAACGGGGACGTGGTGCACATTAATGCACATTGCACAGCGCTAGTGTTGAAGTCAAGACCACATTGACTGAGACCAAGACTTACCCGAGACTAGAGTGCTCCAAGACCGAGTTAAGACCAAGACATTTAGGGATCGAGACCAAGTCAAGAAAGTGTTCATCCTTAGAAATTAACGCTACGTGTCCATGACATGCAATATGCATATAACCACTAGGAGGAGTGTAGAGTTGTATAGAGACCGGTTGTGACAACATTGGCGACAAGATGGCGACGGTCCAGTGAGTTGAGCTTGAAACCTGTTGGTGACACAACAAAGTTCTGTGTAAAGGTCTCAGTCAATAAAACAAACTTTGAAACGGAGAGTAAAATGTAACGGTCAAAACTAGCAAACATACCTGCAGAGAAGCTATGCGATGCTAATGCTAACATGGGTAAAAACCAAATTAGAAAAAGACAACTTTTCCAAAAAAGTTCAATTACTTTGACGACTCTGAGAACAAGAACCCTGCACACTTCCTGATGGTCTCTCCTTGTCGTCTCTGCAGGCCGTGTCTCTGGGCATCACCTCCTTCACTCTGTGCGCTCTGGGTATCGATCGTTTCCACGCCGCCACCTCCTCGTCCCAGCCGAAGGCGCGGCGTGTGGAGCGCTGCCGCTCGGTGCTGCTGAAGCTGATTCTCGTGTGGCTCGCCGCTCTGCTGCTGTCCAGCCCTGAGATCTTCCTGTGGCAGCTGAGCCAGGCCGTGTCCCCGTCCACCGGGCGACTGGTCGACTCCTGCACCATCACCCCCTCCTCCCCTCTGTCCCTCTACCTGCCCGACTCCCTCCACTCTCTGCTGCTCAGGTACCACCAGGTGAGAACATCGCAGGGAAACAGGAAGGTTTGAATGAACTCACAGAAGGAGTTCTGGATGAAGGTTTCAGGTCGTGCTCTTCATTGGCTCCTTTTGGGATTAAATCTTTAAATTATTTTGGTTTCCACCGTCATACTTTGAGTTTCTGTTCTGACATTTTAAAACCAACATATGACTAATCTTCTTCGATCATTCCATGAAACAAAATGGTCACAGTTTGGTTAGACGAAGGAAGTGATCATGATTAGAGCTTCAATAATAATCTTTAGACTTCCGACATCAATATCAGAATACTGACCCCGATCTGAGCAGATGTCGGACATAGTCCATCCAATTTAAATATATCATAGAACCAGGACTCTGAGCTGAAGACACAGTTAGCTTCAATCGTTACAAACAGACTGTCGATCAATTGATGTTACAATCAGACCGAGCTCTCAGAAAAGAACGGTCCCTGACGGTCCCCTGATCTGATTTTGCATCTGAAAGTTGACGAGTCTTTGAGGAAGTGATTTCAGTCTCTTGTCTTTGTCTCAGGGTCGTATGTGGTGGTGTTTCGGCTGCTACTTCTGCCTCCCCATTCTCTTCACCATCCTCTGCCAGATGGCCACCCGCAACGTCAACAGCGACTCTAGCTCCGCCCAAAAGCAGCGTACCCACGACGACCGCTCCTCCAATCAGAAGCGTCAGCAGCACCAGGCGGTGGAGCGCCAGCTGAACTGCACGCTGCTGGCGCTGGCTGTGGTCTACGGCGTCTGCGCTCTGCCCGAACACGTCTGCAACATCACGCTGGCATACACGCACATCACCGTCTCGGAGGACACGGCCGCCATGCTGGCTCTGCTGCATCACTTCCTGTTGTTCTTCAAGTCATCGGTGACGCCGGTGCTGCTGCTCTGTCTGTGTAAGGTAGGTCTGAGAGTCCGGGGTCTTTGGACCAGGGTCATAAAAAATCCAGGAAAGATCCTAGAGTCATTGTAACGTAAACCATTTATCAAAGTTTGGGGATCCAGTTAGCTCACAGCCGAAGAATACTGACATCAGCAAACCAAAAAATAAGAAATATGTTATAAGAAAAAATTGTTTTTTTGTGTTTTTTGTTTTCTTTCTCTTCCTTCTCCTTTGACTCGTCTTCTCTTTCTTTTAATTTAATTGTATTCTTTCATTTTATATAACTAATTTGCTTGTCCTTCCTAAAGATGTTAAATATCGTAGAGAAAGGGAAGAAAACCTCGATGGAGGGAAACATTTATGAATTTATGTAACACAGATCCAAGCTACCTCAGTTTTTACTTCAAGCTACTTTAAACAAACTGTAAATCATGTTTCTGTATTGTAAGTGTTATTTTTTAGTATTTCCACATCACTGAGGGTACACGACCTTTTTGACACCACACCACTTATACAAATGTAAAAATTGTCATCCTTATGTTGAATATAAAATATGTGTACTGTATGTTAAGACATGATGACAATAAAAAGTAATTTAAAAAAAATAAGAAATAAGAAAAACCACCTACTACAGACTACTATCGAACTACGTTGGACATATGTCTGACCTCTGACCTCCAGGTGGTGGTTAATCTGCGGAACACCAGGCCCGGCTAAACTGGTTTCTGGTCTTGGAATGAGGAAGTAAACAACAGCCCAGCAGAAGTCAAACACAAAATGTTACAGTGTAGCGTCCGCTTAGAGTCTGAAAAAAGCTGACGAGAGATTTATTTAGATTTTCATGATTTAGAGAATCAACAAAGAAAACTGGAGGTATCTTTGTGTGATCTGATTGGGATTATTTCCTTTTTTACGGTGGACGTCGCTGTCCGTCATTTCTTCTCAGAATCAGAATCAGAATCAGAATCAGAATCTGGGTTTATTGCCAAGTACATTTACACATAAAGGAATTTAACTTGGTGTATTGGTGCTAAACAATTAACAAGGAAATAAAGCAGAACTAACAACAACTTAAATAATACAGAATAAGAAGATATTACAATATATAAAATACAATTTAAAAATGTCAAATATAAAATATAAAAAACACAAAATGTACAAAAGGTGCGATGTAGGAGCTGTGCAGTGGACTATGAGAAAAAAATCTTTATGTGTGTAACTACTCACAGAGGGAGTTCTTCTTCATCTGTTGGTTTCTATGTTGGTTGGCATCCACAAGCGTTGCATTACCGCCACCTGCTGGAGGTAGATACACCATATCTGCAACGCCATGTTGGCATTTAATAGTGCTGAGCCCGCAATAATTGGTCTCATTTTTCTCAGATTTCTAAATTGCAGAAGTTACTAGTTTTGTATAAAATAAATATCCCAGGAGTCTGAACAAGTAAGACTCAGTAATCAGAAAGCAGGATACGAGTATTTATCAAGTACACAGGGACATGAAGGACCAGGTTTCTTGAAACTAAAAAACATTTACTACATGCATCTCGACCTAAACCACAAGCCGCTTGTGTTTTTGAAGTTCTAAAAAAAAAAAATCAGAGTGGTGATGTTCTTCTGTCACACCGTCACAGTCACTGATGTGTGTGTTGTTGTGTTTCAGGCTCTCGGTCAGGCCTTCATGGACTGCTGCTGCTGCTGCTGTCAGGAGTGTCAGCCAACCTCGGCTCAGGGCTCGCCGAGCTCCGCCCAGGTCAAACTGAAGTCGGCCAATGAGGCGTCCATCTTCTTCGACAAGGCTAAAGAAACGTCTGCCATCTTGGCAATCTCCAGCTAGAGCCATAGATCCCTCTTTCAACATCAGTCCCAGCGTTTCAAATCTTCTTTCACCGCCCGAGTGTTTCTCCTCTTCCTTTAGATTTAGTTTCTTTTCTTGTCTCTAAAATATTTTTCTCCCACGTCTGGGTTTTCTCTTCATCCATTTCTCTCTTTCAGAACACATCAATGGTCATCTTTCTTCATCTTCCCATCCGTCCTCTCCTCCTCTTCCAGAGTACCATTTGTATGATACCCCTCTATGGACACAGTGTTTCTCCCTTCCTGCTTCCTGTCTGTGCAGGAAGTGATGTTTTAATCTTTAGTGAGATTAGGTTAAAGTTGCTGTACATGCACAACCGGCTGTTGTAAAAGCAGGAGCCTGGTTCAGGACTCTCTGAATGGACTCTTCCCTCCGACTTTCTGCTGTAAGGATGTTTGATGTGTACAGTAACTGCAGCGGCGGAAAAACATGGATGGTCTTCTTTTGTTGGTCTGAAGTTTTGTATGTTTAAAGGGAAAGTCACAGAAACCTTGGTCCCAAAATATAATTACTCTAAAAGTCTAAGATGAACTTTTTTTTTGGTTAAGTGTACAACTTGCTGTCAAATAAACTACCTTAAATATGTTCAATTAGGGTCAGGTGTAAAAATCCTGGAATTACCCCAGTTCAGCTAGTTCTAAGAACCAATGAATGAATCTACCGAAACGTGATGTAATCACTTAAAAAAATAAAGATCGGCTCAGTTTCTCTGAATTAACGAGATACTGGCTCCTCTATATCCCAGCAGAAGCTCCCAATTAGACCACTTGAGGAAGAATGTGCGACATGTTCCACTTAAATAAATCATAAAGTCTGTCCTGTGTAAATGTGTCTCTGAGTCCTGACTGTCTACAATGAGGGAGAAGCTCGAGTCCCGCTGGCTGTGTTGTTGTCAGAGCCGTGTTTACATGGACGGGACGGCCGGCTCCTCCCCTTGTGTATAAAAGCTGTTTTAGTCAAGAACTAGAGAGAAGAAGAAGAACATACTCACTGATTATTTGGATGTTAGAAGAGTTTTTAGATCACGCTCATTCTGTGTCAGTTTACATGAAATGTGAAGCTACGAGCTAACTAAAGAGCGCTAACATTAGCATGCTAACACAGGTGATGTGAAGCTACGAGCTAACTAAAGAGCGCTAACATTAGCATGCTAACTCAAGCAAAGGACAGTTTTGTCCGCCGCTTGAGCTGGATTACTTCTTGCGAATGCGCGTAGAGGGGGGTTGGAGGTCGCTGTAGGAGAGCGGAGGCTTCAGTGAGGCGGAGGTGTGGCCAAACAGGAAGTTTGTTTTGGTGCTCAAGGGCGCCATCTACTGGATCAAAAAGTTGCACATTCTTCCTCTGATGAAGCAAATGTTCACAGTCTGATTAGTTTGGATTGGAACACTTTAAGTAACACCGATGATACTGTCATTAGTTTGTTGACTTTGCAGTTGAAACTCGTAATTCTGTCTCGTTAATTCAGAAAAATGGAGCTGACTTTTATTTTCTCACGTGCATAAATCCAAGCCTTTTTGATTGAAATACAAACGTTTGTCTTTCTACATTCGCTGCTATCGCAAACACATTTAAAATGACGCAGGTGTTTAATCTGTAGTAAAAGACCTCGCTGTTTCTGTGGGGAAAGAGCAGCTTCAGTCATGTTTGTAAAGGGAGAAAAGAGGGGAAGGTATGAAGAGTATGGAACAGTGTGGTGATGGTCTCTTTGTACAGGACATTAAACTGAGTAGTGAATTTATGTTTATTAATATGTTTAAACCGTCAAACTGAAACCACTAGAGAAAGACGAGATATGAATGTAGCTTATTTTAATGCTAGATGTACAACTAATTATTGCATGAAGGGAAGCAACATAGCAATGATTTTTTTTTGTGATGTCACATGTTTGTCTTTATAATCTTCAGCGTCACATTCATGGAGTTATAATGTGTCAGAGCTGACTGTGCCGCTCGTCTCTCAGAGTCAACAAATACTCAAAATATAGCAAATAATGCGTCCGTCATTCAGGAATCCCAATCGTCCAAGAGCTCCTCCAGCAAACTAATCCCCCCAAACGATGTTATTCAGGTTATCCAGGAAACCCAATAGTGAGTGTACTTGGTGGTGTTGGGTCGTGTAGGCGTTAGGATGATGGTGAGGGGCTTTGGCGTGCACTACGTCAAAGAGGGTCCTAAAACGTAGGGATGGACGAGTTTCTATGTGAGT